CACGGAAACTGTGAATGTTGCGTTTTTTAAAGTGTTGTCTTTGTCTATTTATCCCCCTTCCCTTGTCTACTGTGAGTCGCCCGGAGTACTTCGGGAGTGGGCGGCATACAAGACAAATAAACTAAACTAAACTAAACTAAACATCTGAATTACAAGTAGGTGAATTTCTAAGACTAATCAAAACTTAAGCATTGGCAAATTAATTTAGATAATATTTTCCTTGTAGTGCTTAAATAAAAGCTTCATATTTAGATTATGAAAATGTATTTTAAAGCTCAATTGCAGAAAACAGCAGTCTAAGTACAAGTTATTTCATAATGCTTTTAGGATAATGATATAAGTATAAAAATACCACTTACCTTTCTAAAATGCCATTTTCCTGTGGTATAACTCCATTGATGGCTGCCTGAAAAGGAAGCATACAGCATTTAATTTTCTAGACAACAATGATAACTGTCCAGTTTTGTGACTACAATACGGATGTGGATTGTCATTGTCATGCTAGAATGTTTCCCAATCTCTCAGTAAAGTCTACAACTCTGGTTTTCCTAGGAAGAATCCCACCAAGTGTTAATCAACCTCGTCATGCTTAGTATCCAAGGTAATGGAACATTGCCTGCTGACATATGGATGTGTTCCTAAAGACAGCAGAAGTGAAGTTAAAAATGGCCAAATTGGAGATGAAAAAGCTGGTTTTAAAAGAAATGAGGAACTCTTCAAATGTATTGTCTGCCAATTGATTAATAAGAAGGCTGTGCAAATTATCTGAAACAAGCTCTTCACAACTTTCACTAGTCCACGCAAAGTACCCTCTTTAAAGCTTTAAAGTAGTCCCTACCCAGAAAATTCAGTACAGCTATTTCAAAGGCTTTATCCAGCAGTTTTTACATATGTTTGCTTATTTATGCAGGCACATGCACACAAACAGATAGATAACCGGAGAAAAACTTCAGAGCAGCTGTCCTAACCTTCCCTAAGGTAACAACTACTTAATGCTTCACGGAAAGTGTAACATGCTTTGGTGCCAATATGCTTTTTGAAATAACTTCTCTCAAATGCTTTGCATGGTCTTAATTAAGATACAGTACATATTAATATTTCACATTAGAGAAAATAAGTTCAGAATGATCAAAGGCCTATTTCAAATGGATATAAATTGGTCATTAAGGAATGGGAAAAAAGTTTCTGTCATACTAATGTAGCAGGTCAGATAATTGCTAAAATTGGTAAAAAATTAAAATCTGTTGATATGAATTCCTAACATGCATTAAGATAAAACTGGGATACTATTTTTTTTTGCCACCAAAGATGGTGGAACATATATACTATAAAATTTTTAGTTGTCTTTTCTTTTATAAAAAGAAAAAGAAATTCAGAGAAAAGGTCAGACAGACGGTAACTACCGGTGGCAACCAAAGATTATGTGATTTCCTAGGCAAAACTAGGGAGAGAAATGGGTAGAATTATCTTGCTTTATTTCAGCATTCAAAGACAATTATGGCCACTGGAATTTAAGCCAAGTTGCTGTTCCCTGCTACTGATGTTAGGGTAAGCAAATATACAAGAGTAGTATAGTATTGAGGCTTTGTTCACTACAGGACAAATGAGGCTGAGGAAACCTAGAAACGTGGCCTTCTTGGTGACAGCCCCATATCTTTGGAATTCTGTCTCTTTAAAGCTGATCTGTTAAAGGCTCATTTATTTACATAAATAAGAACATTTAATCAATGTTTCTATCCTTGTCAGCGAGAAGTAGCATGCTCTCCATTCCCATTGATTAAACCATGACTGATGGGACCCAGAAAGCTGGTCTTTTCTATCATAGTATCTGTCTTCTTTAAATTATCCCCAGATATCTGTATGGCCCCTATCTTAAATGCTTTTAAAGAGATCTTGAAAAACCATGGCTTCTCCACCAAGCCTTGGGCTAGGATAGGTGATAAGCCTTATATAGGATTCTGCATATTAATTTGAAAGTTTTCTTCTTTTAAGGACATGCAAAATTCTTTTCTTTGCTATCTTGTGCCCTGATTTGTTTAATGTTGTTTATTTTTATTTTATTTTAAATTTATTAAATTTATTGGCCGCCCATCTTACCACAGAGTAACTGTGGTATTTATTGCCCCGCCTTCATGAGATTGGCAGTCTTATAAATTTTAATAATAAGTAAATTAATAAATGGTTAATAAGTGGTTAGGGTGCAGTACTGCAGGCCACTTCAGCTGACTGTTATCTGCAGTTCAGCTGTTCAAATCTCACCGGCTCAAGGTTGACTCAGCCTTC